TGAAGGAAAACAATATTCGAAATATTCGAATTCGAAATTTTAGAAACCGTGAAAGCTTCGAAATTTTCGAAGTCGAAACTCCGCTGTGGTCAAAAGTTGCGAATTTTTCGAATTCGAACCTCGGTCGGTACGAAAATATAGAAATTTTTCGAAATCGAACCTCAGTTCGCTTCGCAAATATCGAAACCTTTCGAAATCGAACCTAGGGTGGTTCGCGACATCCCTACTCAATAGTGCTGTCTGGCTTCCCGGTACTCCAACACAATCCGGGTATGGGTCGTCCCGGTAACCAATTGGAAGACAGCAGCGAGTATACTCTACCCTATGCGGAGGGCAAGTTCGTCTGCTTCTTGCGCAGGGGGTAGCGGTGAAGTCAGAACGCCGAGCCCTGATTGGCTGAACGCGACCCCCTATCTGAGCGTCGTCTGCTCCTTTGCAACGTCGTCTGCTCGCAACGTTGTCTGCGTCTGTCCCTTTCCTGCGACTTTCGGAAGTCGCAGGAAACGATCTTACGCCAAAAATATGCGTAAGCCATAACTTAAAAAGAAATTTGTATTCACGAAACGAAATTTCCGCAAGTTTTGCGCAGGTTACGACGAAATCCTACGACAGCTTTGAAGCTGTCGTACGCACTTCTTACGATCAAATCAGCATGGCCGACAGCGTCGCGGTCGCGACGACCCACGGACGTTTATTTTTCTATGTGCGCTTCTCAAGCGTCCCGACTTCAAGCAGCAAGAAAAAAGTAAAAAGTACTTGAAACAGACCACGACGAACAAGAACGCTGGATCCACAAACACCCGGGAAAAGCTACAACGGCCATGATTCCACCGAACGCGACCAAGCGAGCACGGCAGTTAGGCCTAGCAGGCACTCCCGGACTCGGCGACCGTCTGCCCACGACCGGCTGGCGTGCCGAGTGGAATATGCCCGCGCTACCCTTGTGAACCCTTCCCGTATTATACTTTGATCGCTGACCTCACTTTTGGATTAAGAGGTCAATTTCTTCCTCTTGTTATCTCCTTGTTTCCCGAGGCAACGGTGACTCTCGCCGGTGAAAAAGCGGTGAATCTCCGACAGACGCAGGAAAGGTAAAGCAGCCATCGCTTTGACTAGCAGACGTAGAGCAGACGACGTCAACTGCACCAACCCGCCGACACCGTTAAAGAATGGGGGGTCTCGCCGCGCACGAAAGGAGGGACAAAGTATTTGGGAGGGAACTTGCACGCTCACCTCCCGGTTCTTAGTAAACAAACCTCGGCGCCTCGGGACACCTCGCCAGTGAGTCCTCTGAATTCCCTCCTTGATGCGCGTCTGCTAGTTGTTAGACAAAAACAATGTACCGCTCGAGTTATTTCGTCTGCCCTCTGTGAAAGGCGAAGTCGAGCTCGCATGTAAAGACCTGCACTTCTGAAAGTCGCAGGAAAGTGAGACAGACGCAGACGATGTTGCGAGCAGACGACGTTGCAAAGGAGCAGACGACGCTGAGAAAGGGGGTCGCGATCAGCCAATCAGGGCTTGGCGTTCTGACGTCACCGCTACTTCCTTTCTCATGCGCAGAAGACGAAAATGAGCCCACTTGCGAGGCGATATGCTTTGGTGGCTCCACCTCACGGGCGCCTTCCTGTGATGGAGCTGGTAGGTTGCAAGCAGACAGTACGTTATGTCAAAGTAAGGAGTGGCTATGTTAGTTTGTGTCTATGACGATTACAAACGGCTTATTTATTCAAGAAACGTGTACGACATTTTTGTGAGTGATCTTCCTAATGAACAGTGTCTAGAAGTTGGTTTTATATTCATAAGTTAGAAATGTTAAAAACCAAGCCTGGAGCTTGACATTACAGCTTGTGCAGCGTGCGTCAAGGCTATTCACAGCCGCTCCGATTCTTCTTCGGATCTGTGGAGGCTGCTGTAGAAAAAGCTTTTGCATTCACCAGAGTAAATGACATGTTGTCTTCTTAGCTGTGCACACACACAGTTGTGTTGCAACGCCACACACTTGTTTCATCTACATTGAGCGTGCCAATACCGACGCTTCTATCAAAGTGCGACTCGATTATTGCAGACGGGCAAATGCTCCTCAGCAAATAACGCTCCTCCCGCGTCGAATACGTGGCAAAGACGTTTGTTACATCGGAACTTCTGCTAAAAAAAAAGCGAAATTTTCATAAATTCTTAAGTTGTCAGACGTGGCCTGGCAAATTCAGACGACTAATTTGTTCTAAATTTTACTAAGAATTGTTTACAAATTTAAAATCGCTCGCTGAGCAGCTCATCACGTATCATTTGGGTCCGCAAAATTAAACATACAAACGGCAGTAATTCATAGCAGTATCCTTCATTTTTCGGGGCGCTATAGTGTCACCGACTTACTAGATTTAAAACTTTGATCGCGAGAAGCTCTCGCACGTTTCGTGTCAACCGGGTGAATAAACAGGGATTTTATGGAAACGACTCTGGAAGCCAGCAACCGCTTCTTCCTGTCAGTCATTTTGAGGAAATGATGTTTTCACTGGCTTACAAAATTCAAAAAGGAACCAACTTGGAACTAATAAGAGACCAGCACTCCCAGAACACATTGAAAGAACAGGATTCATGGAGTCACTTTCACCGAAGTGTTCCCTACACGTGCGAGAGGTTCTCGAAATTTGTTTTCCTATATTCAATTTGATGAAACGATACTTTCTCAGCTTTAGTTCGTCTGAACCACAAAAAAAATACATCCTATTTGCTGTGGTAGATGGTGTAGTGGTGTGAAGCACTGGATATTCTATTTTTATCACAGTTTTTTTTAACTAGTGATGTTAAAATCCAGTTTTTTAACTAGGTTTTGACTAGAGAGGACAGCATATCACCATCCGAGCGCTTCGACACCTCAGCGCCAAGTGTTTGTTAGCATGACTACACATGCCACGTTTCCGAAGTTTGGTAAACTGTCCTACAAATATCACTTTATAATATAAACACAACACGTGAAACAGGCTTTGCCGCATGTTACGTAGACAACGCATAAAATGAGCTGACAAGCCGAGGGATCCAAGGTCTCCGAGGTCTGTCCTACCCGAGACGTCACAAACGATGATGATGATAGCTAGACACGCGCCCCTTGTAGTTCAAACACGCCGCCAGTATAAGTCCACGAGGCTCCAGTGCTGTCAAGAGAACTTGGAGATCCTTTATAAAAACCGAGTGAATGTTTTTTCGTTATTTGGCGACTGGAGATGAGACTTGAGCCTATCTCAGAGATCCTTAGTTCAGAACGGAGTTAGTGCAGTGAAAGCACGAGTCATCCTCCACCACGGGAAAGCTTGACAGAAAAATATGCAGGCAGTCATGGCGACTCTCTTCTGGGATGTTGGAAGGATTTGAGCTTTTAGAGTTCATGTCAGCCAAGGCAACCAAACATGGAGAGTTACGGTAACACAATGATAACTTTGAGGGAGTCGCTCGGAGAAAAGACGAGGAAAAGTCGCAGCAGACGTGCTTCATCTTCACGACAATGTGCCGGCTGACATGCTGTCAGGTTCTTTATAGTAACAAAGAAAGGAAGCTGAGAGGTCCATCTAATTTTTGATATCGAAGAGATATATTTGCGATCAATTTTTCTCTTTCTCTCCAAATCGACGTAAAGAAAAAAAAAAAAGGAAACTTTTCAAAGCAAAGAAAACAAGCAAAGAAACAAAAGAAAATAGAGTATGTCCACAGTTCAACTTGCCGAGATTGGCACTGGTTTACGCTGGTGCTAGGCACTTGCCCGGTTGCAGAAGCCGGTCTCGTTTGGCTCCAGTTTACAGGTGGTGACCAGTCGACTGGCTGCTGCGATGGCTTCGCCGGTGGGTTCTTGAGCCAGGCTTGCCGTTCACTGTTGACAATAGGGACAGGTCGGCAGACTTCTGTTGACAAGAGCTTCACCGGTTTATTCCGGAGCCAAGCTTTTCCGAATTCGACCGCTCTCCGCCCCGAACCTCGTCGTCCTCATCCTCTTCTTTTTCTTCAGTCCTTTTTCGCTTGTATCCTCCCGATTTTCTACCTCCCTTTGTCGCCGTATTGATCACATCATTACAGATGCCATGTCAATGACGGGCTGCCATCCGAGAGTGCGGCCACCGGCAGCTGAATGGTCTGCCCCACAATCTGGCTCCCTCAGATTATTTCCTGTTTGAAGTTTTGTTGAAATCTCTCCTTGGACAGCAACTTCCAGGTGGAGAAGGCACCAAGGCAGCTGCGACGTCCTTGTTTAAAGGGAAAACAAAATATTGTTTTCTTCTTCAGACTGTTAGTCATTGCAGGAAAAGTGGATGAAGTACATTGAGATATCAGAAAACTATATTAAAAATCCAACACATTTTTTTAAACCTTTTTTTCTTACTGAGGGAGATAAATTATTGAACACCCCTTGTTTTTTTTAATAAAATCATGGTACAACTTCTTTGTACAAGGCGAGTCAAAGGGACCAATGGGTGTATGAGGGACTGCCAAGTCAATTGAGGTGAGCAAAAAAAGTGCATTAGGGGCTGCAAAATTTCACTGAACAAACTTACCCGAGTAAAAAGTTTTAGAACTCAAAATCCCTACCTACAATGTCTGTCTGCTAACGAAAGGTGTCTTATTGGCGCAACAGCCAACAGATGTCGGCAGTGGTCTCCGCGTCAACAGGGGGGGGGTCGGCAATGAAGACACCGACTGCTGGTTTTTCTATTTCCTCTTGGAATCGAAATACTCTCATCAAAACTATTACAGCGGTGGAGAGTGATCGTTTAGGGCACTAGCCTAAGTGGAAAAACATGGTACTCACCAGGGGTGCCAAGGGGGGGTGCACTCTTGTTCAACGCCAAAGGCGCACACCAAATGCGAAAGAGTTCCCATGTCACGTTCGGACCAGCAGTGTCTCGCAGTGTACCTGCCAGTCTTGGCAAACCTTCATACTTGGCACAAACTGTTACATAGCCCGTTACAAGTGGAGTTGCCTGTAGCATCCGAGTGAGTAGACCAGACACGAGGGTGTTTCCTCCGTTTATTACTAAAGAAGGAGCAGAGGAAAGGAACGTAAAAAAGAACACTCTCCAGCAGTTCGTCCAGTCCATCAGTCTCTCTCCTCCGGCACACACGCACGCACACACACATCAACCGGCGCGGCCTCTCCTCTCTCGACAAACAGGTTCGTTCTGGAACGGTATAAAACTCGCGCGAGCCTATGAGAGTTAATTTAATTTGTGCCTCCTATAGCTAAAGCCCGACCCAGGCTACCTCCTCTGCGCACGCTCCTGTAGGCTCTCGTGCTCCGCTTAAAGACACCCGCTATGTACAACGGTGGTTGCGCTTAAAAAAAAGCGCCGCGTTCCGATATAAAAATTTTGTGTCTGTACCTCTTTTAGGCTACGTCGCTTCTCACCAACGTGAAGCCTTCTTTTGCACCACACAAAAGGCTTCATAGCTGTTTGTGGGCACTAAGGGAAAATAAAGCATCATTATAATATTATTATTAGTACAGCGCTAATAATACATTGCCTGGCAACCTCATACTTCGACTAAGCAGGTTTCTCCCTTGATACGAACCAGGGAGCGACTGAATCCTAGCCTTTAAGAAACAATGTATTATGCAAAAAAATTAATTTTTTCCACTTCTCACCGTTTTTGTAAGACGCCATTACATGACACCCAATGTTTCCACGTTGAAACCAAGATGAGTTGTGTTCCGAGTCGTTCGAAGCTATCCTTGGCATACACGAATAATGGGAAAACATGCGATTGCATACGCGTCTTATTTGCAAGTTAGCAGATAAGCATTAACTATGCAACTTTCAAAGGGACTGGAATGGAAACCAACAATACAAGTACTAACACCCAATGCGTATAAAAATAAAGGACGCTACTAAACATGACCGACTGGGGTAATGTAGTCAACCAACTTCATCCTCGACTGTGACAAAGAATAAAATCTCACTATCACTGTCAGTTTCCCACACCTCCCTCAATGCAACAAAAAATTGGTTAAAATTAAAATTATTTTTAGTACAAAAAATATATAATACTTTTTACAACTTGGCAAAATGAGTAAGCAAGTTTTTACTGCAATTTATTGGGTCATGACATTGTCATTAGTACCGTATTTACTCAAATCTAATGGGAGTTTTGTTTCCTTCAAATTTTTGTAACCCAACTTTGCTCCTTGCGTTATAATCGAGTGACAACGAAATCGGCCTCCATGGTGCCAACATTTTGAAATAACTGCGATTTTCCGAGCTCCAACGGTTCTTAAACCTTATGCTGGCAACATATACCCATACGGCTGCTCAAAATAAAATCGATCCAATTCAAACCCAAATCTATCAAAAGATTGTAAAACATGTTCTTTCTTCTGGCGGATTTACTCAACAGTGTTTTGCCTTCCGCGCTTATACGACGTCAGACCTTTCGTGCTTCTGCGGAGACGTTTTTGCAGCAATCCAATGGCAGCACAAAGTGCGCAGTACGATGCCAGAAAAAAACACAGGCAATATTGATGGCCAAAAAGCTGAAAAACTCTGCCGCTGACCGAAGGCTAAATGTGAATGAATCCACAGTTTGCAGATGGAGGCGCCAGCTGGATGTGCTTTTTATGTATGAACCAGACCGGAAAGGCTTCCGTGCACCTCGTCGTGGTCATCACTTGGATTTGGAAAAGAAGGTGCAAAGTTGGTCACTGACGAAGGTAGGGCCTTGACACCCTCTGGAAGAATCAAGCGACCATGCGCATGGAAAATCACTGAATGGCTGTCCACAGAGTGGCACAGCCTCCCGCATGACACGATTGTTCGTGTGTTTAAGAAGTGTTTGGTATCGAATGACTTCAACGGTGCGAGGGTGACATCATCTCAGAAGACGGCCGTGAAGCACTCCACCTCCGACGACGACGACAACAACGATGAGCGACGGGGAAATTATTCGTCCGAAACTGGCCAGTGTTTACCACCATCCCTTTAAAATAAAGGTACCCTTTTATTCCTCCGTCGGTGTAGCATTACAATGATGGCTCTATTCTTCTTTCATGGGGCATGATGAAAAGACTCCCCTCGCGTTAAAATCCGGACGCGCTACAATCGAGTAAATACGGTAACAGTGTCTTGTCCATTCAAAACATACCAAACTTTCCAAATATAAATTTGGTGGGAAAATTGCAGCTTATGGAAGGGTGAACAATTTTGCCTCAAGGTAGTATTCCTTTGCCAGCTTGTATGATGATAAATTAATTTATTACCCCGAGAGATTCTCAAATTATTTTACAATTGCTCAGCACAAGTGACTACCCCCAAAAAGTGAAAGTAGCCCCTGTACTCATAATGTGGGCCACACGGGGTGGGAGAGAACTCCAGTATTGAATACCAATATTTACTAGGTAAAAATTGCAACGGGCGCACAACCTATCTTGCGTACAGATATTTGGTTTTCTTAAAGGCTCTAGATTCAATCCCTCACCTCCGCTGGCCAAGTCGGGATCTTGTTCAGTAAAAGTTAAAAACCAGCTGGCTTCTGAGCCTTGCCCGTAACATTGTACAACTGTTGCATCTCTTGAGCACATAAAAGTTAATCTCTTATTTTGTTTTAAGTCATTCTTTCTTTTCTTTCCTTCTCGCTCTGGCAGAGATGATAGTTTGGCATGGTAAACAAAAATGCTCTCATAAGGACGTTCTTGCTTTCGAGATATCACGGTTTCCATTGTTTAGATTTCTGAACTATGGCGGTGTTTTTTCCTTCCACGTCTGTGCCTTTTGGAACTCTCAGCTTTGCGATGTTTTCAAAACGCCTCACACAAATCATAAACTAGCAAGAGCTGTGGGAAGCTTGCAGATGAATGGACTCGGAAGAGGGTGACACCGGAGAAAACAAAAAAAAAGTTTGGCCAGGACCCACTGCAACGACTCCCCAGTCACAAAACCATAGAATGGGATACTCGACACCAATAGCGGATAAACGATAACTTCCGAAGTAATAATGACTTTCACGATCCCTTATATAGAATCCAAAACCACAGGGACTTCTGATTTCACATTATGCTTGTGTCACAATACATCCGAGAAGAGCACGCAAAGATGTTGACTAAGAGCCAAATTGAAATCCGGGGACCAAATTGTTTAAAAAGCAAATAATCGAACCAAATGAATGTAAGTATGTTTCTCTTCGGAACAACCGGCTTCGTGAGAGCCAAATGACGCGAGGTTGCTGTGGCCCGCGTAGGGCGTGCAGATCCAATTCGGAGCCGCGTACAAAGCCGGATAAAAAGCTGAATAAGAAGCGAGAGAAGAAGCCGGATTGGAAGCCATATAGGTAGCCAAATATGAAGCTGGATAGGAAGTCGAGCGGAGCACGGAGCCCGAACGAGACAGCTGTCAGGGGGGTAGCCGCAGGGGGCAATCATTAAGAGGCGCTGTCCGGCTGGTTGTAGGTGGCCTTGCGTACTTCGTCGATGGCCTTGCACCACGCCAGGGCATAGCCCTCGGGATCCTCCAGGTAGTACGTCCGATTGGGCTGCGGGAGGAGACGGGCACAATCGGGGCGTCACAAGCACGGCACAATAGACCCTTTTCAAAATCCAGTGCCATCTGGCGACTCAAAAAATAGTTTCGATCTCGACAAGCTAATGCTGAAACCGTATTTCCTCGGGCACCGTCACTTTCGCACGTCAATGGCAGTTCTCGGTTTTTCGATCACCTGAGAATTCTTTCTTGATTTGTTTCGGTTTCAATGGTACAAACATAAGAATAGACCTTAGGCAAAATTGCTCGGTAATATCGCAACACTGAAAGCGTTGCCATTTTAATGTTCGCAAGCGCCGCCTGTACCGAAGAATGGTGGTGGTGTCGGAGACAACCGTACTGGCAGTGTGCGATGGCGCGGCAGTGTGCAGAGGTCTCCGAGAGCTTCATGAGACAGTTGCAACAGGTTGTTTAAACTGTTCGTCCACCTTCCATGGTCGGAAGGCGGACAAAGACAACGATTCGGATGGTGGCGGCGATTCCACACAGTCCGCAACCTCAAATAAGGTGGCTGTACCATACTTGGCGTTTTAGCGCAGAAACATCAACAGGGCTGCCCTAATTTACTGTTTTTTCTTTACACTCAGCCCCAGAGGATGTAAGATGCTTAACACGTTTGCAGAAATGCAAGCTGCTTTCCGCGTGCGCACAACTGTAACAAGGTTCATGTGCGTGCAGATATACTGATATTTGCATAATAAACTTTTAAAATTCTACTTGTGATAGTAGAGGAATAAAACTCCTCAATAAAAAAAAAGAATATGGCATTTTTAAATCACTTAAAAAGAAAGTGGCACTTTGGAGGTTAAATAAATGAAAAGATCTGCCGTCCTGTTGATAACTGAAGAAGGTGGTCCCAAAGGTGCCTCCGAGAGCCTAAAAAAGCGCCAACAAATATGCGAGGATGAGAAAGTGGACAAGATGACTGCTTTCAACCACTTCCTTGTCCTCGTACGTTCTTTGCCACTTTTTCGGGCTCTCACGAACCAACCGGCCCAAATTGCTGTTTTAATGCATCCGGGAGAATGACCAGATACCAACCGTGTGGACGAAGAAGGTCTTGAAGTTCTTGGGCTCCGGCCTGAGCTCGGGGGACCAGGGGATCTCGCCCTTGAGCACCATGGCGGCCGGGTCCACATAGTACAGGTGCGGGCCCGTCGTCAGCAGCAGCATACGGCGACGGGCAAACAGGCCCTGCAAGGGGGAGCGGAACGCCGTTGGATCGTTGGTTCGGCAAAAATAAGCGAATTAGACATTCGCGTTTAGACGGCGTAAAGGCCGGTTTGTAGACCGGTGACCGCTCACAGCCGAGCGCATACGAGCTTTTCGAATGCCCCATGACAAGAGAGTGCATTGGCATGCCGGTGCCATCTGCGAGGTGGCCCTGGAACTGCATTTTACTAGGGTGCAAGTTTTGCAGTATTTCTGACATCGAGTGTACGTACCACTATGAGAAATGGTAATTTATAACACTGTCAAAAGTTACTCGAGACCATAATAAAAGAATGATGGGAAAAAAAAAGAGATGCGGGAATATGGCGAGTGTTCCATGGGTACCTGATAGATGGGGACAGTTTGTTCCGACATCATAAGAGATCACGGGAAGTCCAAACGCACTTGGTTGTAAGCAGCCACAAGTGTATGATCCAGCCTTAAGGATCTTAAGGCGCGACTGTGCACCGGGTACGTGCAGGGGTGAGGGTTGAGCCCAGGGGTCTAAGCTCGTCAAAGACCAAGTTGGGGCCGATGTTTACGGAGCGTGCTAATAGGACTGCAGCGACGACGATGCCGTGCTCCTGAGGCCGCAGTTCAATTGGCGCGTTGCACGAGCTTTCATCTCTAACTTTGTGTCCGATGAGCCTACGGCCCTCAGATTCCTGGGCCCCATAGCGAGCTTGCGCTCCGCGTAATCCAAGCCGTGGTGTGCCAAGGTGCTTGGCCACCGAACCCCCTTCCCGGGGTGCACGATGACGGTAAGGGTCCGAGCAGACGAGTGTCTATGGCCCAAGCTTTCAATACGGACCGATGCGGAGGGCGTTGCCGTTCACCTTTCGCTTGTCGACCAGGCCCTGCTTGAGGATCAAGTTCCCCTGGACGAACTTGTGGTAGGGGTTGGTGTCGGCCTGCTTGCGCAGCCGGCTGCTCTCCTCTTCCGGACCAAAGTCCAGGATGTGGAGGTGTGAGCGGGAGATGCGCTGCTGCGGTGGTGGCGGCGCCACGCTCGTGGCCGGAGCCGCCGGAGCGGCCGCAGCCGGCGCGGAAGCTGCGGCCGGAGCCGACGGGGATGAGGGGACACTGTCGTCGTCCTGGAACGCCAGGCCCAGAATGCGCGTCATCTGCCGGTCGTCCAGGCCGGGCTCGAGGTCGTCTGGTACCTGCAATCCAATTTTTCAAGTAGCCTAGATGAGTAACTAAAAGAGAGAAAAAAAAAAAGGAAAGGAGTTTTGAAGAATGCAACAGTAATCCCTCATAATAACAATGTCAATGGGATGGCAAAAAAGTTGATATAAGCGGTACAGTCGAATCTCGTTATTTCGAACTTGAGGGGGACCGAAAATTTGTTCTAGTTAAACGAAGTTTGGATTAACGAAAGCTCATTAAATGAAGCACTTACGTGCAGCGCTGCGTGGCGCATGTGCACTGAGCTAACACACGAGTGACGAGTTCCAGGACATTGATTTTCACCGATCCCAAAGGGAAGTAATCCGTGATGCGTGCCTGTGCGTGGTTCCTCAGTCATGAATCAACAAAGATCGCTTGGAGCTTGGAGACCAGCTCTAACGCGGCATCCGCATTCTCCTGGCAAGAGAAGTAGCGCGCGGTGGTGTCCAGCACTTTGAGTGCTCTTCGTGATGCTGTGTTTCTTCGCTATTTCCGTCTTGGAAAGTGCGCCTTGGTCAACTTCTTGCAGTATCTTTACCTTCGTCTTGAGGTAAAGATACTGCAAGCCTCTGCAAGCCGCAAGGAAGCGTCATGGCGAGCCCTGGCTCGCCATGACGCTTGGAATTGAGATAACGTCAGTCGCGCGCCCACCGAAAAAACGCCGAACCGCAGCAACGTGCAAGTGCAAGGCAAGAACCGGAACTGTCGCACTCCCGCCGAAAACGCGCCAAAGAGCAGCGGCGCAGCACTGTCACCGTGCGAAAGAGCACCGCACCGCTCATTGCAGCATTCAAAATTACCACATGATTGGTTGTCATGGTTATTTGGAACTGGAGATGTTGGAGGCGCTGCCGCGTGAGTTATCCCGCTCCTGAAGGCATGCTTGGCGGCGCGGGATGTTCGAATTAACCGGCGAGGGCATTTAAGTGTTCAAATTACCGGGCGTTTTCCCCCATTGAAATACATATAGTGTAGTCCGGACAACAGCGTCAGTTCGAATAAACGGAAAGTTTGAATTAAGCGTGTTCGAATTAACGAGATTCGACTGTACTTCAATAAAAACGGAAGAACCCCTAAAAATAAAAACAGCGCCAGCCGCCTTGAAGGTGTCCGAAACATTGCGGAACACTCCAACCATATATTTAATGAAACAAACCTCGGTTATGATCAACATGCGGCAGCTTTATCGGTCACATTTACCGGAGTTTGCCAATAACTTCATCTGGGCATCAGTTCTCCTCAAACCGTGTACCATGTTCTTGCAGTGGAACCGCTGCTGCACTCCACTTTCTTTCAAAAGAGCCGTAGGATGTTTCGCATCTCCGCAGTCGTACACGTTTCCCGAGGTGCCTCTCCGACGTCGCTTTGCGTTTACCCTGGCTGCACTCAAGGTCCACGATCGCAGCATCCGTGGCAGGAGCAACAACGGGAACGACCACATCAACAAGTGCAAAGAATCGAAGTTATCCTTGGTGCCTTTGCCAACATGTTTTCACACACTCCTGTAGAGATCATTGCAGCCCTGGGAATCGTGCGCTGGCTAGGCAAGCAGGCTCGTGAAAGAAAATCTGATGTGCGCAAAGCAGCGGGCAATTTTTCATCATCGGGCCGCGATTGCGCTTTCTCCTGCATGAGAAACTTCTCGAACCCGTCCGATATGCCTTGCTTGTTCCGCAAAATGGTGGACAGTGTCGAACAGCCGATGCTGGAATGTCGAATTCTTAAGCAATTATGGACTTAAGAGATTACGGACAACCTCGCAGATCTAAGCGACCTTCGGTAAACGCTCCCATTGCTCCCACTCTCAATTACGATGCTTGTGTGCGTGTACCGCGCAGGTGAACCCACACACACACACGCGTCACGGGGGCTCCTCAAGGGATGATTTCCTCCGAGCTATCGGCTCCATCGCTCCCTTGACCCAAATTCCGACAGAAGTCCGGCAGCGCCACTTAAGGGCGCTGTGAGTAGCATCGGAACGTGGATGCTACTCCTGCTGCTTCCTGCCTGCGTCGGCGCATGAGCGTCGAAAGCGGCGCTCTGCATGCTCTGCCCTTCGTCACCCGTTTTCTTGCTCGTCGTTTTCTCAGTTTGCTGTTTGCTTCAGTGGAGAAGGAGGAGGAAACGCAAGGGTCTCTGTGCGTCCCTGGTGGGCTTGCATGCTTTCGGCTCCGCGGCCTTCGTAATAAGTGTGGTTGGCCGCCGATACACTTCGAATGATCCGGTTCAAAATGCGTGCATTTCAGTTGGGACCACGTTGAACTTCGATGACGGCGGCAATTTGAAAAAATTTATTTTGTTATAACGAGGGGTTATTCTAAACGGAAAAAATGTAGATGATAAGAATATCATCGACATTTTCACACCCCTAGCCTTCCACTTGCTGCACGAGTGAAGCCCACCCCTAAACTTCCTACGTGCTTCGAGTCCTAAAATTGACCGATTTGGTGGTTTCGATGACGCTGAGCAAGTCTCTAAATGGAACCGTATGTTTATCTTTAGTAATCAAAAAGCTAATTAAAAAATTTGAGTTAATGACTCGATTTACTGCAATGATTAGACCCCTATATTATGTTCCCCTGGCCACACACCTTACCCGCACACACCGCATTAGTGCAACTTTCACGGCTTTTCTTTACAGAAATCTAAACCCTCCAAAGAAAAAACACCCCTTATAACAAATGCATGCCGCCCGCCTCTTTGGTTGCAAGCCAGTCGACGGACGTAAAAGTGTGTAGGGTTTGCTCGTCACATTTAGAATAAAACGAGGCACCACCTGGTACTGTGAGCGGAGCTCCTCGTTGCTGGAGGTGCCGGGCAGGAAGGGCAGCATCTTGGGTGGGTCCGTCTCGGGCAGGCGCCCCCACTGCACCTCCGAGAAGAACTCGTGCTGCCGCAGCTGGGCGTAGCCGCCACGCGCCGCACTGCCCAGCCGCTCGGAGGGGTTCAGCACCTGCGAGCGGAACACGCAAGGGTTGTACCGAAGTCGGTCCACTGCTACGCTCCGTGAGGATCGAGTTGCATGCGGGGCCCAAGGATGGCCCGGCCAGTTTTCAATGCGGAGCAATTTTTGGAGCAGAAAAAAAATCTTGTTCCTTCGTATCAGAAAAATTCACATTTTGGAGCAGCTTTGGAGCAGTACATGTGCAACTTTGGAGAAATCTGGTGCAGTTGCCTATTAGGGATGATGGCATGCATTCACGTAACCAGCTGCGTGATGCCCATTAAGAACCCAAAGTTAGCAGTTATACTGTACTACTGATTTTGCCATAAACTTAGTCAAATTTGTATTTCGTTTCCGTTAGTGCTAGTGAACAAAGGTTAGCAGGGTTGATGTAAAAGGGAAGGGGGGGAGGGAGATGTGCTCGTATATTATAGGGTCGGCTGAATATTTGGGAAGGGGGGCTGAAGCCCCCTAAACTACCTCCTCGGCTCTTGGCTCTTCATCCTACGTCTCACAGTTTGAACAAATACAATATTAGGTGAACTTGGCAAGTCTTTCACGTGTCCTATGCAACCGTCGACACTTGGCCCGTTGCAACGAAGCCCACACCCGCAAAACTCACCAGCAGATTTTCGACGAGATCTCGGATGACAGGGTGAAAACCGTCCGGGAATTCGTAGTCCAGTTTAATGATCTTCTGGAAGGTTAGGTACTCGTTTCTGGAAAAAGAAATAAGACATTAGTAAAGTTATTCCGGGAATCAATGACACCAGTGACAAATGCAAACATCTCACGGAGAAGCGCATAAGACCCGACTGCATGGTCGTTTAGGCAGCACGATACAGTCCAGTTCCAAAACATAAGCACAATGCAACAATGAAGAGGACGATGCTATCCCCATAATGGGTTAGCCGGTTGTAGTGTGAGACTTGAGAGTGGCATCAACAGTCGTGCAGTGACAGGCTTTACAAATGAGACACGCCTCTGGTAACGATGCGTCAAGGTTACCGGTTACGCAATGAAAATGAGAATCCAGTTAGAGAAAATACGAGAGATTTTTTCATGGTACTTGGTAGCTCTCGGTAGTAAAATGTAGACCTAAGTACAGCTTCACACAAAGTCTTGGTAACACACTGCAACTTGGAACTTGAGAGGTGGAAGCCTCCCAGTTCGTTTACCATAATATCCCTAGATTGCCTCATCGATAGCAAAGCAAGTGCAAATAAGGGGCAAACTAACTTTCAAAATGTAATGATAAAAAAAATGCACACAGGTGGATAATGCACTTTTTTAAGAAATGAAAAACTCGGTTTCTTTGCAGTCTGTTCATACAACTTTTCACGCACTGTCGGAATACGAAAGTAAGATTCGTTGACCACATTTAATGTGGTCACTGCCCGTCCAGCTAAACTCAACGGGCATATAAAAAAATATCTTTTCATACGACACCTTTTGCTTGCCCGATGACTTTTATAGCAGCACTATAAGAAAATACTTCAGCTTTTAAAGTATTGTCTGGCAGCAAAAGTTTGAGATCATAGCTTTATCTTAGGCAGTTTCTCCCGCTAAGCGAGAGTTTGCGCGACCGAGGAGACTCCTCAAGCATAGATTAATGTTGAAGTTGTTGAAGTTTGGGCTGTTGGTATACAGACATAATAAAAACAAAAACAGCGCAAAGACGAGGAGAAAGTAAAAGGTAACCAACAAGACACAGCACTGTGTCCTGATTGTTAATTTTTACTTCGTTCTCCTCTCTGCGCCGTTTTTGTTAATGCGAACGAAGAGCTTGCGCTTGTAGCCTATTAGTGGTATTGGCATTCCGGTTCATTTACACAAGAAAAGAATGAGAAGCCAATACTTAAAGGAAGCGATGCTCCGTCCAAAAGAAAAGCAGAATAGTGCACAATGCGTGAACATGTCATGTGAGCAGGGTTTCTTTTTGAGCGGAAATAAATCAATGATATAAAACTATTATTTATGGTGCACGTTGCACTCGAGGCATGGGGGCTGTTGGGTGCGGAATGCTTGTAGGCAGTTTCGCAGAAAGTTGTGGGTTGCGTGTGTGGAACCCTTGCTCCAAGTGGTTCCAGAATGGCTTGGCAGCCCGCGTCAAGATCGGGGGACGAGAGAGAGGGAGACTCACGTTGCTCGGAATGGCGGCAGCCCCGCAATCATCTGGTACACGATGCATCCCAAGGCCCATAGGTCGGTGCTGCAACAACCCGGGACATTTTATTAGGCTATAGCGCATAACATACAGGGTGTTTTCTTTTATCTTTACAGATTTGTTTCAAAGTCACCAAAGCTGCATTATTGCGGTCTGTGCAGGGGAGTTATACGGCCAGGGGGACATAATATAGGAGCTAATCGCCATGACAAGTAGATTAACAGAAATTTGTTTGCAATCTTTTAATTAGTGAAGATAAAGATGTGGTTTCAATTAGAAACTTGCTCAACATCATCGAAAACCACTAAATCAGTAAATTTTAGAAATACTTAGAGCACGAGGGAAGCGCGCTGGTGCACCAAAGTTACGAATCATGCAACAGGCATGAGACTGGCGACACGAGAATGCGCTCCTGCAGTTACGTATCCATCTCTTATCTGCGTTCTCGCACCTGCCCGTCACAAAAAGCGGCAAATTCACGAATCATCGCGCTAGCCATGCGTCCCAAATCCTTCTAAAACTTCATTAGTGGTTTCACTGATGCTCAGCAAGTTAACAGTTGGAACCATATATTGACTTCACCTAATTAAAAAGCTAGAAGATTTTAAATTATCTGGTTTATTGATCATGTCCCTGTGGACATATAAATCGTCTGCACAGGCCACACCAGTGTAGCTTACGCAGCTTTCTTAAAACAGCCTAAAAAAATACCTTGTATATTCAAACAAAATGAGAATGGGCAAAGGTAGGCATATTTGTATCCACCAAAATTTAATTTCACAAAGGTCAGACAACGCTTGCAATGTTAAAGAATTTGACTGTAAAAGTGATGCTTTGAAATATTCATTTTTTTCACTCACAGTTCGAGAATGGAATCTGCCATCAAGTGATATTGTTTCAATACTTTCCGATGACTTGCTTTTTCAATTTTTGTTGAACAAAAGGTATTAATGCTTGTTTTTCCTATGTTATGTTTCTTTTTTCTTAATTGTCAAGTTTGTTAACGCTTGTGTACAGTCATGTCTTGTTTATATGGACAACATTAATGTGGATCCCCCTCTATATAGACATTCTTTTTGAACACAAACTGGGAAATTCCACGCATTTTAGTCTATTATGGACATCTCACAATGTGGATGACTTTTTTGGGGGATGGATGTGTCCATATTGACATGGCATCACTGTATCTGTATTTCCACATACATTTCTTCGTATAATTTTGTGCCTATTTCTGCATACATTTTGGCATACAATTGCATTTGTACATTTATCAGTACCCTGCAACAACGCCCTCTGGGCACTGCAGGTTTAGTTAATTCATGAATTGAACGAATGAATGAATAAATAAATAAATGCAGGTAGGGTCCCAAACATGTACAAACAAGCGGCTAAGGAAGCTATGCCGCTTGCTTCTCTCTGCAGCTCCTTCTGGAAGGGCTTACATTAGGAGGGAAAATCTAATGCCTGTTCTGACGGTCAAGAACATTATACCCAGCAGTGGACGTCGCGGAAATCATTTCACAATTCGTTTAGGCCTTTGTCAAGGCCATAAAAAGGGACAATATACTTTGATATGTGCAAGTATGCAAGCTTCCGTGGGCGAAATGAACATTCTTATCCCGTTCTACTTGCACTTCAAACACAGCACTACAGTACTGCATATTGTAGCACACACTCCATTATCTATTCTCACACAGCAGAACCTCCCTGTACCAAGTCAGTTTTAGAGCGCAGCTTTTAGGCGCCCGTTTCCAGCTTCAGCGGCGTCAGCGTAACTTTTCCCCGCTGAATCTAGCAGAAAAATTTCTCTGGGGGGCCAACAAGCCAGTAAATACAAAGAAAAATAAAATAACACAAATAAGATAAAGAAAAAAGAAAACAAAAATAGATAATAAAAAGATTGAAAAACCCAGCACAAAAGAAAAGGGGAGTGTGTGGGTCGTCCCATGATGTGCTTCCTGGTCTTTGTCGGCATGTCCGAGCATGTAGAATTTTTTGCCCTAAAAGATTGGTGCATATATGTGGGGGGGCATGGGTTCATTACGTGGGGTAAAATTTTACGCGTTTACAAATTTTGCACGAATGTCACTTGAGGTGCCAAAGCGTGAATGCCTGCGCTCACTGAACCGCCGCTGTCACCTCTTTGCACACTGTGGCCAAAAGCATTTCTGTTTTTTCTTTCCCGAGGCAGAGAAGAGGCAGTCACCTGGGGGAGCAGCTCTTGTCGGCCAGCATCTCGGGCGACACGTACTGGGCCGTGCCCACGAAGGAGTTGTGGCCGTTCAGCTGGATCTCACCGATTCCCAGTTCTTCTGCAAGGAGGAGACACAATCGGTTGGCATCGTCGTCCTTGCAAGTTTATTCTGCGCACTTGTGGGACGCAGCACAGAGGGGGAAGGAAAAGCTAACGATTAGCAGATGCTTGAGACGAGGAATAACCAAACTAATTAGAGGTTACCCGAGCTGAAAAGTAGCCTAGATGCAGTCATATGTCGTCAAGGCGCACCTCTGTTCGAGGAGAACTCCCCGAGCCAATTCAGAAAAGGGAAACAATATCCGCGCACAGCTTCGACTGCCCCAGAAAGTTGTCTCCGGGTAATGTTACTAAGGGTAAGGTTATGCGTAAAAAGTAATGAAGTTATGTTTCAATAGACCCGCCGTAAAATGTGAGGCACCTTCTCTGGCACCGGAAGATAGTCTGGGAACTGCCTGTATAGAACCCGCTGTAGCAGACGAAAAATGTGACGGGGCCAATGTGAATGAGGGTGAGCACGTAACTGTACTAACCCTTGTCTTGCCCTCTTCAGTGTCACGTGGTACGAGGGTGATAAAAAAAAACTATCCACACTGGCTATAAAGTTTTTTTTAATCAAAACCTTTCCGACTCGTTAGTTCGATTATGTCGGAATTGTTTGTATCGTCGAAAAGCGTAGATTGTCATCTTTGGTGGGAGTGGACGCAAATAATTCGAAGTTTTTGAAAAATAGTAAAGATTAATCTTCTATTATATTAACAAATTGTTTGAGTAATCTATTCAACAAACTGTTTTCCCATTAGACTGGAAGTTAGGGAAGGTGGTACGCATTCACGAGGCTGGTGACAGGTGCCAAATTTATATTTTGTAGATTGTTTAACCCTTTCTTGTTGCTCTCCCCCTCTGTAATGCCTTCCGGCCTTGAGGGTACACTAAATGAATTGAAACGAAAATGAAACCCAACCCTGTGGCAGATCATCGTAGAGGCAAAGCCTCGACTAATTTGCAAAAGACTTGTCCAGTCATGCACTGTCCCTCGTCCATCCAACAGAATCAGTTCATGTGCACGCTCAATGTCTACGGTTGGGGATGCGGTCGGGCGTGCGGCTCCTTTTTCATGGCCGGCACTCGTGCGTCCTTCTCGAGCTTCTGTATCCATTCATACACACTGCAACAAAAACACTCCTTTCATGCTGTACACCAGTGGTTCTCAAGCACTGATGTTTTGCGGACCCCTTCTGGATCGGCGGACATGATGGAGGACCCCGTTCGTGGTGAGAGAAAAAGAGAGGTATAGGGTAATTATAACATTGATTTAATAAATTAATATACCTATGGGCTAGAGTAAAATAGACATTTCTCACTGACATACACGCAAGAAAACTCACCTGAAAATTTTAACGTTTCTACCGAATCTGAAAAATACAACTTTTATTGCCGGGCTTGACTGATGAGGAAGGACTTCGCGGACCCTTAGAATGCCTTCGCGGACGTCTGGGGTCCGCGAAACTTTATTTGAGAACCACTGTTGTACACAAAGACCCGGACAAAAATCGGCACCAGACTCGGCCAACAAAAACGATGGCTTCCCTACTCATGCAAATTCCAAGTGGGGCAACCATTGTTTTTCACACTTCAGTCACAACTGAACTGGCACATTCGAACGTGCGCAGCAGTGACCAGAAAGACAGAAACCTCCTATGTATGACACAACAGAAGTTGCAAGATGATTGGAGCGCAGATCATTTTGTGCCTACAGGATCCGGTCCCCGGTAACTGGACGATTACATTTTTTTAATGGAGTTGAACCTCGATTTAATGAAGTCACCGGGACCCGCTAATTATTTCGTTAAATCGGGAACTTCGTAAAATCGGGCTTCGTTAAATTGAGGGTTCAACTGTACCTCACAATATCAAGGCTTCGCTCATGGTAGAGCTTAAGCGACAATGTGCAGCGCCAGAGTTGCGACTAAATCAATGGAAATATGTGTAGAGCCGTCCAAATAATTGTGAACTGCAACTTACGTAGGTTACACATTGCTTCAAAGTTGCAGCAAAGTAGCAGCTGCTCAGATTTCGTTGTAACTAGAAATGTATTTAGTTGCGGAAATTCTAACCATAAATTGCAGAAACATAAATGATTTCAGTTACTCACCTAATCGCTTAACCATCTAACCATCTAGGATGGGCCAAGATCGTCTACCCAGAGTTGTCCTCAAACTGTTTAAGACAAGGTTAGCTTGTCCGCGCACCCTCGCATTTTCCTTGGCTGTTTTGGACGACCCAGGCTCAAGGAGAGCTTAGTTAAGCGCTGCCAAGAGGTGGCAGCACGTGTATTTGTCTTCGGTACACGTTTCTTTAAAAATAGCTCCCAAGGGTGGTGACACGTGCGACCCTGGCCGCACGTGCTATAAAAATGTTAAAAAGCAGTTCAAGGTTATAAACTACCAAAAAAGAAAAGGCTAAGGGGTTAACAGCTTTGCCAAGTGGCTAGGTTAATTCAAAAGCAACCAGCTGGCAGTGAAGTGCTAAATCCCCCATGTCAAAGGACAGGTTGACCAAACCAAAAAAACAAATGCCACTCAGCTTTTTCGGGGACAACTAAAGATGTAAAACAACAGAAACTTTTTGCTCCTAAGGGGACATGTCGTAAATGGCTCGAATCACTGCAATCTAGCAGTAGAGAGACTTTTTTTTTTTTTTTGTGCAATTTCAACACAATTTTTAAATTGCTAACACAAGCGCAATGTAAACCAATATTTAGTAATGGGGAGAATGTACCGTCATAGTCCCTGACGATGATCTTGGCCGAGCCAAAGTCCGTGATCTGGATGTGCATCCTCTCATCAAGCAGGATGTTTTCCGGTTTCAGGTCCCTGGGAGTCACAGACAGAAACGCCTTGCACATATGAAATTTGAGACACCATGCGAGCATGAAATTTGAGAGCTTTAGAATGTCTCGAAAATGGCGATTCCCACCCTCAAATCTTCGTGGAGTTGCTTTCTTACAGAAGATAAGTCAGATTTCGTGTTTGTCCGCAGCCTACGAGGCCAGAAATAAAGATCAGGTCGCACGACCCAATGTCACGTGATTCAAGCTGCGAAGCCACGGTGTCACGTGATGCAAAGTCCCGGGATCCGTGTTGCAGATGTCACGCGATTAATCAAAGTGTGCCAATAAAAACACCATCATGACAACCCACAGTTTCTCATATAGTTCAATTCTGCGTACGGCACTTTGATTTATGAATAGACCGACATCACCAGTCAGTTTTGTTACGCCACCGCTGCTGCAATGCATCCAGAGAACTTTAGTCTTTTCGCACGTGGGACAACCTCACTGAAGTACTGCGCATTCAGAGCTTGACACGGCACGAGGCGTCTCGAGAACTTCTCGACGCCTTAATTAAAGCTCGGAAAGTCGCATCCCCTATTGCACACTTGCGAAAGATTACGACCGAGCACCTAACAACCTCTTACAACTGGAGAACACACCAGAGCCACCTGTCAAGTATCTGTGGAGTGCTTGCGATTCCCGTATGTTTCCCATTTTTTTGGCGCAACATTCTTTTTTTATTGGCTCGAACACGTTTGACAATGTTATACATGACTATTTGTCGTAGACAGTGTGTGTGCTCGATCTGGCAAATGCTGCAAAACCTTCACTCTAGTGACGTGCAGTTCCGGAGTCACCTTATTAATGGCGTCGGCGTGCCACTGTGTTTTTTTGTTTTAAGAGATTGCAGGAACTCGATCGTAAGCAAACGGGAATAGTATGTGAAATGGCTTTTAGGGGCGAAGGAAACGTAGCAGACGATGCAAGCCCGCTGCGGTCACCTGTGGACGATGCCAAGCCCGTGGAGATGCTCTAAGGCGCAGATGATCTCGGCTGTGTAGAAGCGCGTCACGTCCGCATCGAAGGAGCCGTACTTCACGATGTGGGGCAAGAGTTCACCGTTCTTTGCATAGGTCACCACAAAGTCTGCGTGGGGCATCCAGTCAAGGACAACTTCAAGTCACGCTCAGCGCCAGACGGCACCGATTGCAAGGCGGCGAGTGGTAACAAATAACGGAGCTCGATCGGTAGAACTGCTCTACATAAAAACTGATGTGGCGAAGATACAAATATAGTCGAGCAAACCCGCGGCACGCTTCTAACGTGGGTGTGAGCGACTGAGGTGCTGGTACAAGATTAGATTGTACCATTTCTTTTTATGAGGAAGAGGCAAAGTTTTTATGATCGCTCGCATCTCCAGCAAATCTTACTCACAATTAACAGAAACAGATTATGTCACACCATTCTTTTCATGACGTTGCGCACGCTTCCCTTCAGTGACACCCGGATAAAAAGCCTTTGCTTTGAATTTTCTGAGTCAACAGGAGACGGGAAGGGCGCTTTCCTATCCTTTCTACTCCTCATTCCGAGCTCTTTCTAAACCACCTGTTTCTGCTTTTCCTTTTCTTGCCTTTTCCATGCCTCTCCACTCCGTGCACTTCCTCACACCACCTGCTTCTGCTCCTCCCATTTCCACGTGCTGGGTCTGTAGCTCAGTCAGCAGCGCACTTGGCTTCCATGCTGGCAACCGATGTTCAACCCCTGGCACTGATCGCTGTTTTCTTCAAGATAGTTCAGCGGTTACGGGTTGACCGACCTACATATATCGTGCTTACGCAGCTGCTGAGGTGGATTGGCCCTATAAAGCCACCGCTTTAATAATAAATGCGGTTTTTACATAGATCTTCTCCGATTGGCTCTTATGTTGAGATGTTGTGAACAGTAGAATAAAACTTTTTAGGTATAAATATTGGTTATAAATAAATATGAATACCAAGACACTCCTAAAAACATAATTAGAATGTCGGTTAAAGCAAGACAATGTAAACACACGTTTTCCGTATGTGCTGTTCAAAAATGCATGGATAGACGCCCGCTGAGGCTACGGGCGGCGCGAACAACAGAAAACTAAGCCCCACTCACGGGTTTTACTCCCTCCTTAAACATGGAATCTCTAACCTGCTGTTTTGTTTTTCTTAATCTTAGAACTCAGCTCTGTAAACCAATCCTATAAATACAGAGGAACCACATGTCGAACATAGGGTAAAAAGTGTGCTTGCTTTAGAAATCTCTTGCTCTGAAACGGTAGTGAAAATTAATTGTTTTTCTGGTAGAATGCGTACTAGAATATCTCTAGCTGGTTACTAAAAAAAGAAATGTTACAAATTTCGATTGTTTTCATCAAGAAAAAAGTGAAATAGAAAATATAAACTTTTTCCACATTTACAAGGTTTCACAAATTCCAAGTTTCATAATAAAGGAAGAAAATCCAGAATCCAAGGTTATAGTAACTGGTTCCACAAAAACTTCTATATAAAACAACCAAATCTGGGCCTCTCGATAGTTTCTTACTGAAACAATAGTTTCCTAAGTTCGGAATCTGCAGCCAAAAAGTTAAAATGAGGCAAATGCATTTGAAAGTTTAAAACGTTTCACTTTAAATGGAGCCATCACATTGCAAATAATTTATTCGAAAAAAAATACTTCAGCTATAGGAATGAAACTTCCTGACAGCATCCCTCAGGAGTTCTACGAGATGATAAAACTACTCCTTAAAAATGTGACTTTTAAAAGAAAACTGCTATTCTGAAATAGTGTCCTCCCTTAAAGGGGCACTAAAGTGGTTTCTGAGATCATCTATTTATGATCATAACTCAATTTACGGCCTCTAAGCATTCTAAAAAACCCAAGATTAAATTTACTCGCGTCCAAATTCTTTATTAATGTGGAATCAAAAGACACGGCCATGTTTTCCAAGATGTGACGAGGAAAGAGAGGAAGCTGTTGGACAAGCAACATTTGGTAGGGTGAGGCTTTGTAAAAAGATTGAAAAATAAAGTGCCTCAATCGGTACCACCTTTCTATTGCAGGCACAACTGATTTAAGGTAAATTCAATTTAAACGAATTGGATCTTGGGATCAAGTGCAAATTTCCCCAAAAAGCCAATTAGGAACTTGAGCAAGAAAAAACTGGGCCTCGCCAAAAGAACGACCCAGGAAGGACCGACAGGGACAAAGGACCCCGCAGAGCCCGACACCAGCCCAACCCCGCAAAGGGGCACGATAGGGCGACACCACTGGGTCGACAATGGTCGAGGGCATTCCTGTGCCAGACAACTGCTGCCGCAGCGACTTTTGCTTTTCCCCTCCTCTCAGGGAAGGACCCCTACAAGGGGGGCCCCCTGGACATGCGACAGTCAATTGCGAGTGATTGCTTCCCATGCGCCATTGGCGGGCATATTTTTTAATTTGTGCGGCACGTGCGCAGGAAGCAGCTGCTCGTAATTGGCTGCCACAAGTGTGATGGTGCACTCTGGCTTGTGCGCCAAATCGCAGAAAAACAGATGGGTTGCAATCTTCGATTCTATTTTTAATAGGGAAATTTGGTCGCGTGCTAATATCGCCTCGGGTATTTTAGAATGCTTAGAGCAGCGGTTCTCGACCACTCCTGTTTCAGGGACCCCTACTGCATCAGCGGAAGTGATCGGGGACCCCATGGACCGAAGGGCAGGGGGGCTTACTGGATGATCATTACGCCAAAGGGAAAACAAAGAAAACTAAATGCATACAAACCAACTTCAAAGCCTCGCAACGACAAATAATCAACCCTACTCACTCAGCATGCATAGACTGGTCCATTTAGCTTTACGGGACAGCCAGCATCAACAAGAAGTTTTATTGATCGGCTGTAGATTGAGTCATGACCATTAATAGACAATCTCAGAAACTACTTTAGTGCCTCAATAACCCTTTAGGCGCTGGGTGTTTTCCGTTTCAGAATGCACCCTGTGCCAAGTTTTTGTCGCTGCACAAAATATACTTTATTTTGGAAGCAGAGATGCAGTTGCATGTTTAAATATGTGTATTTATTTACCAGATGACGTTACTTCACGTTCAAAGAGTTCTTCAACTTCCAAATTTCTTCAATTTAAAAAACCTTTGCACGGTATCCATCGAAACACTGTACATTGCAAAGTGGCACCTGGCATGCTGAGCACATGTAGCGTCCTCACTGTCTTAAGATTCTGAATTCATTAGCAGTTTCTGGATTTCAGCATCGGTCAAGGTGTTGAATGGTGGGTTCACCATTCAAAAACAGCGTTGACTCGGCAATGCATACAGAGAAAGTTGCCTCCCCAGAACTCTCTACCTGGCGTCAAAAGGCAAAACCGCAACTAAAAAAATGTGGTTCAATAAATTGTCCATAAATTGTCCAGCAAAAAAAAAAAAAAAAAAAAAAAAAAAAGAAAAAAGTTTTGCCAGCTGTGGCAGGGAATAAATTGAAAACTCGAAGCGGCTACTTTGGCCATAAAAGGATACAGAGCTTGTTGGCGTCGTGGAAGGTGGAGTGCAGGCGGATAAAGAAGGGGTGCGGCCGCGTGCTGAGGATGCGCAGAATCTGCTTCTCCCGCATGATGGCCCGCTGCTTCTTCTCGCGTAGGATGTGGTGCTTGTAGCACACCTTGACTGCACACACAGACAGACATGCCGAGTAAAGGGAGGCACCCTCACTCTTTCGCGAGGCAGATCAACCCGTCCCAAGCCATGGGGGCAGCCGAGGGCTGACACCTACTAGATTGTGGGCTCTCAAACCAAGTTTCTAGAGACCCCGGAATTCCCCCAAATACCCTCCCGGACTCACCGAGCTCCCAAAGTTCCTCGATTGTCTCCACCCCCATGTAAGGTGCTTTTCCCGTTTGAGCACTAGCTGAGAAGATCTGAGTTACCCGCTGATGCACAACTACGAGCCAATCATTTTCTAAGCCCCGTTGAAACCTGAGAAAAGGGGGACAAGCTCTTTCCGCAAGGCCCTTCGCTCTTTCAACTTTATCCAGTGAAAGCCGTAGAGGATGTGAGAGTCTCACTGGTTAGAACAGACATCAGACATAATCCATCTCAAAGTCTGCAGTGAAAGTATCTGCACTCTGAATAATCCTTTTACAACAGACCAAAATCTTCATCACTAACAAGGTTTGTTATAATGAGCTAATACTGTACGGGCTAATAGCGTAGTGAACACCACCAAGCGGATGCGCCAAGCGAAGGTGACGGGAGTTCTAAGAAGCTTGTCAACCGACTTTCACCTACGCTTCGTTTCAGTGAAGTCCAGACGCAGCTGGCACCACAAGACAACGAACCAATCGAGCAGCGTCCAAAGCGCAAGTCACTGGGCCCTTTCCCTTTACAATTGGTTCAACCATAATAGAACACATGACAAACACCATGATGATGAGCTTTTGATATTGTCCGATTCGTAGCGTCAGCTGTGCCTGGACATAAGGCAGAACGAAGTATATAGTAACGTTGGTTCGAACGACGTCTAAACCCCTGCAAGCATCTTGGATTGATCCAGCTACGGCTTTGTGAAAAGGATGCTCCCAAATATTTTAATAGAAAATCTGCTTTATGCTACAAGACAATTGTCACAGACAAGCGACACACTTGGCACTACGAGCGTAACAGACGTTAAGGTTATTGAGCTACAGCGGGGCTCGAACCTGGGTTGGTGGGGCGGAAGCCGGATACTGAGCTGCTAGCACAGCTCGTCTAGAAAGGTAAATGATAATACTTTAATGCAAACATGCCGGCGAGAGCAGCTGGTTTGAGATAAAAATACTAAAATAAAAAAAAAATTACAAGAAAATTAATAAAGCAGAAATCCTAAATAAAACAATATAAAAAGCAATGAAAATAAATAATAAATAACTACAAAAATAGATAGAAGAAAGAAAAATTAGCCCAAACCAGACAGTGCGGTTTGTGTGAGACTTATTCTGCCTGTGTCATTTCTTAAGTGCAAGCATTCCTAGCTTTAACAGGAAACAGGACGCTGTTAATGCTGGAAATAATGTCACACCGCAGGCACTGGTGAGAACTGCCCATTCCACGTAGATGCACGCGACCCATTTTCGTCTGGTCTGGTATGTTTGGCGGTAACATTCAAGGGAGAGACTTACATCCTTTTGTTTATCTTTTAGTACTTAATGGATGCAGTTGGGGACGCAGCTGTGGCTCGGCATGTAGGCGAGCAAGCACACTGCCACACGGTGCTAAGACTTGTCAACGCACTAATGACGGATTTTATGAAGTTTGCGCAGCCTGCAGCTGGGGCGCTGATTTGAAAGGAGTCTATTCCTGATTTGTCCTTTTTATCTACGAGTTGACAACCTATTTTCAGCGAGGAATTGCAATTTGGAAGAGAAGAATGACTCACTTGCATATTCTTTATTGGTACGGATCTCCTTGGCTAGATAAACCTGTAAAAGGAAAATGGGTCAAATACATTCTGGCATGGGATGATGTCAATCTGGTATTGTTTCTTCCTACTAATTGATTTCCCTAGTTTCAACAAATATTCTCTCATAGAACTTCCTACATGAACTAAGAAGCTAAAACAGTGCAAAGACAGAGTGCCGACTGACAAGGGATTTTATAAAAAGGTTTATGACAAAAAACGCAGCGACAGTCGAGACATATCTACGCAGTCACCTCTTAATCAAAACACATTGAATTCACTAAGGAACGATAGCGCTTTGTCAAATAAAGCCACTGACACAGTTTCCCTGCTCGCATCGCGAGATAGAATACGCCTCCACAATTTCTCTCTTCATCTTTTTTTCATGCCTGTATAGTACTGTCATTTCCTGCAGCTACATCTATCAAAATAAACCACTCGCTTCGCCGTGGGCGATGACTTAACATATTTTATTTCATGGTGCTTGGAGGGTGACTGTGTCAATGTGGCATTAGTAGCCTTATTTGACAAACAACAATGTTTCTCAGTGAATACGACTTGCTTTGACGAAGAGGTGATGGTGTAGACAGGTCTCAAGTGTCACAGCATTTTTTTTTTGTAATTTTAATAAAGATCAGTTGTCAGTCAGCGCTGTTTGTGTAGTTGCCGTCCTTTGATCATCTATGCGTCGTGCTTAGTTTCTTAAAGCATAACCAACTTTCTTAAATTTTAACAATCCCTAGAGGTAATATTAAAGAAACCTACTCTTTAAAACAAGTTCTTGACATTATCTATGAACGCAGATATTAATTTCAGGAGTAGAAGCGAACTCCAGCCTTTTGTAGCAGGTGTGGGAGCTGTAAAGGTGCCCCTTTGGAGCAGCTTTAGAGAAGCTCAGGAGCCACAAAAGTAGATTTTTGAGCAGTTGAAGTAAATTTCGGAGCTGGTCACTCGGGTCAAATATGAGGCTGTAAGTGGAGACTTGTTTGTCTAAATACAAAAATAGCACAGCAGAAAAACATCTTCATGTGACGTTTTAGAACCATTTCCAAAGATGCCCTTTCGTTAAAAGTAATCCAGCGCACGGCACCAAAGCAAACAGCATAATTGCAATTTATGTGAATGGCAGCTATTGGGAACCATCCTGGTAGAACATTGTTTCTTCTTCTGGATTTGCAATGGAAGGCATAGCCTACAAAGCAGCATAACTGAAGCCTCACAAGAACAAAACGTGCCCATTTAACAACCCTACTCGCAAGTTCCATTTCGAGATGCAATGGTACAGTTTGAAATAAAACTCAAACTTTACTGACTCCACTTTTCATTAATAGGAAATACAAATGTTCAAAGCACCTGATAACAGAGCATAAATAAACTGTGTCTGACAAAAGTATAGATGCAAAGCATTGAAAACCACAAGATATCACCCCCGCTCATACATATGCTGCTTAAGCCCTTACTAGAACAAGCATGACTGAATATGGAATAAAGAAAAGCTTTGGGGTTTCATAAAAAAGTGACTGACAAAGTTAGAAGTAAGATAGTAAAACAGAGGGTTCTCTCGCAAAAGTTAAAACTACTCAAATAAAAATCACCTTTCCTTCATAACTTCAAGAGCAATCAATTGCTATGATCCCTTCTAGCATAACAGTTTTGAGTTCAAGTCACTCAGCAGGGCATTCTCACTTTACACTTTGTCCTCCCTGCAGCTATCACGAAGCCGGGGGAAAGAACCACCAGGCTGACCTTTCGGGTATCGGGCAAATTCAAAATAAAAAGAAAAAAAGGATGGTTGCCAAGAAATGGCGATCATAAATGTTGCTTTCTTGGCTTTTGAAAAGGGTCTATTGCAGTGGTGGAACTGACATGTGGTGATTTGGAGCAGCCCTCGTAGCAGTGAAAAACGGGTTTCGGAGCAGAGATTTTCACTTCTGGAACAGACAATTTGAGCTTTCATGTCAGGAAATTTTATACAATCTCTTTGAAAGTGAGCCTGTGGAAAAAAAAAAAAAAAAAGAAGTTGTTGGAGTGTTGAAGACTATTTGAAGTGTCGTATTTACAGGGGACCTGGCCATTACACTTATTTATTTATTTATTGGACAATCATACATCGGTAATTTTGCAGATGTTTCAATTAACCTATTAGGAGTACCGATGATGTCTTCGGTTCGCGTTTGGCGGAAAAAGATGTTTTGGCTGCTTGGTAAGGTTTGTTTCACGATGACGTAATTGCTGCTAGTTCCACATTGGATGGACACTTTTGTGTTGAACGTGTATCACTCTGCCCTCGCTCGTATTCAACCTGCTACTGCTTATAGAGCAGCTAAGTGGAGCACATAGCTGCTCTAACTGATCATAATGAGTAGTGCCAACTATTTATTGCGATCTATGTGAGCACTGTTTGCGCAAGAACCGATAACTCTTCGTTAGGCATGTGTAAATATTGAGTTTTGAGTTCGAAGCATATTCAAAATGAATAGTGGTTTTGGAAGAAAAAAAACAAGCAAAAATAATGAACACATGTTGTTAGCACATCGCTGCCTAACTTACCCTCACATAATAGCCCGACAACAATCCCAATGTTTTGTGCGTTTTTTTTTTCCTTTTGGTTCATCAGGAGAGCGCGTGCCCTATACCACTTTAAACGCGTGTTTTTCGCCTTAGTGCGCCACTGCGCTGCGGCAAAGCGACTCGCGAGATCTCGGTGCCAGTACCATGGGCATTGCTTCTCCGCAGTGCACTGGTGCTTGAGGAGAAGCGCACTCAAGGGGGCTGACTCGCCGCGATCAACATTTCGAAAAGTATGAATATCACAGTTTCTTTTGAAGCGAATATAACATAGCCTATTATTTTAAACTACTATTCAATAATTCGAATATTCACACACAGTACTTAGGCACCCGAAAAAACAACTGTACTTTCTCAATTTTCAGTGGCATTGTCAAGAATGCCACGTGCCAGACGCTTTCAGTTTCCTTTTCGATAACAGCTCCCTTTTTGGCGCAGACATGGCGCAAATTGTGCACAAATTCAGCCTTTGGAGCAGCATGTAGCAGGTTATTTCTTCTGGCGCAGTTTGGCACAAATGGAGCAGCAGTTCCACCACGGCAATTGTGAACCTGACTGCTACGAGTTCTGAGCTTTGTTCCCAATTCAGTTATGGGCTCCTTTAACTTGTAGAACTGTAACAAAAGGGTGAGGAGGACTTGAGCTTTTAGAGCTTCAGACTGCGAGCCCCTTTTCCTGAGCGTCCCAAAGAACTGCCGACAACTGAACACCCAGGTTTAACCCCCTGACAGAAATAGCACGTCGGTATGTCTTTTTCTTCCAGTGCCTGGATAGGATGCAGACGTCACAAAATACATTTTCCCTGAGAACAAAAACAAAAATTTTAGAGCAACCTTTATGTTGCGAGAAGCAGTTTGAGTTGAAAGCAACTCCAAAAGATGCTTCTATTTCGAGACCCTTAAATAGAACCATGTTTCAGAATCGGATTTGCTCAAAATAAACCTAGAAACATACATTTCACACTAAAATGTTTTATTTTAACCAGACACTGGAGTTCAAGGTCCCCCAAAGAAAGAAAAACATCTATGCTGTGCAAGATGTGGGAATAGTTATATCTGTTGCAAGAATAGATAAGAAACGGATGTCTGGGGGCTGCGTGCCCCAACACAAGGTGAAGGTGACCCCAACGTCGGCTCGACGCCGGCATGGCACCCACCATAGAAAAGGAGCCTTCGCCGAGCAGCTTTCCAAAGATGAAGTCCTTGGCGCTCATCCGTGCAGGAGGCACCTGGGGGTCGGCTTGCTGGCCGGCCGTGGAATTGTTCCTGCCTGCAGGAGCCGTAGCCACGGCCGCAGCCATCGTCGCATTCGCCTCCGTGTGGTTTCCCTCGGCGGGCTCTGTCACAACGCCCTGCAGCAGGCGTATCAAAAATCAGGCGAACGATTAATGTTGCATCATTGTGTATGCATTCCCATGTCAAAGCAAGGTGAATTAGGCATTCATACTAGCGCAAGGTAGGTCTGCCTCACGCTGTAAACGAAATTTATAGTCAGTGCAGTAACACTGTTAGCCTGGGGTCTTTAACGAGCATCACGCATAAAACCGCATGCCAGTATGACGCTCATCCAGATCGAAATGGGCAGACGTCGGGATTGAGCCCAGGATCTCTCGGTTCTGCAGAAAAGTGAGCTTTCGCTTTATGTGCTCCGAGCTAAGGTATGTGAACACACTTGACCACCGATTCCTCTCATTCACACGTCAAACTTAGTGTAACATACTGTTGCGACAAAGTTAGCTCTATCACAATGTTTCGTCACATTTCATTTGTACCTGTTGGCCCTGGATCATTAACTCTCAGCCGACAAAAGCAAACAGGTTCTTCCCACCACAAAATAAGCCCGGAGACATCACGCGAATGAAGCGTTAGCGGCTAGAACTAGATGCCAAATTTTCGGAACTAGGCCTTATTGAATTCAGAAGAGAATTTCAGATGTGGCATACTGTCCCAACTGCTTAAATTGACAAGGTCAAGCAACTCTGACTCCACTTGGTTGTCCAATTGGACAGAGTCGGAGCTTTCAGTGTACAGGCAACCTGGTCCAGCGCATTGGATTCTCAAGTTGCCCAGTCTGTTTTTGGGTGAGGTTCAGTCGATAGCCAGAGTAATGCCCAAATTGATGCCACTTGTGCATGCACCCTGCCATGCTAATAGCCATTTGTGCCGGTCCTATAACTGCGGCAGCTTCCCTGCACTGCACCCCACAGCGAGCATAAATGCTCAGCCACAATTGCTTTACAGATGTTTTCACCGAGCTAAACTGCACATAGCGAGAGCTAATTCACTGCAATATGGGCACACGGAGCTTCAAATTAACACCACTTGTGCTTGATGCTGATTGTAACAAGCTAGCACATTAAACACATAAAGTGCACATCCATTTCCCAGAAGTGCCTGTGAAACTTGCGGCATAAAGCACCACAAAAAGCGAGGTTCAGTGGCAAAGTCCACTAGCACACTGTGGCTTGTTAAAAACATGGATTCGCATATTATCACGAGCTCAATTTCTATTGCCGTCAGTTTTGAAATGAAAGGAGCACCATACCAACATGCCCCTTTCTTCTAGAGGAGCAATGTAAGACACCATTTTAGGGGTACCATACCTTCTTTACTACTAGACCTTTGTCGCTAATTTCCCCCCTCCCCCCCCCCCCCCCAACCACGTAGTTCGCACGTCCAATATGGGTGACGAAAAAAAAAAGCAAGGCATTACAGCGTGGAATGAGTAAAAAAAAAAAAAAAAGAGAGAAGACGCAAAACAAGCAGGATTGAGAGTTGCGATAAAATAGCAAACACCATATACTTGCGAGGCAAGGGCAAACAATGTTTTTCCCCTTACCGGGAGTTCCACAATTTAAAATGCCGACGACTAAATGGGGAAATTTAGTGCCTACACCCGCTGTATGCTTTGCAGAAGCAACTTCAGCTGGCAAAAAAACATGTTTTTCCTTAGATGGCCGACAAGTGGTGCACAGTCTGGACAATAGCCACCGCCAGAATGAGAACAAAGGGAGGGGTTTCAGTTGTCCTGCCTCCAGTGCAGGAACTTGGACAAGGTTTGGCGTCTTGCAAGCCTCAACAGTGCACATGCAGTTGGTAAAAGGCAACCAGCACATGTGCAGGTTGGGCATTTTGAAAAGAAAATTTGCCATTCTCACATTGTAAGCTACCAGAGGTGTTTACTTCATTCATGTCCTGCTACCGGGAAAGTTCCGCATCTTCCAAGTTTATTTTTTGAGAAATTCGAACGGTGTTTTACGGAGTCTATTTTTCGCCACAAGTTTGGGGTTTATCGGAGTTTATTTTTTCTGGATTCCCAATACTTCGAAACCCAAAGTTTAAGTCTGATGTGTTCCAAATTTTAAAAAATTTAAGATGAAAAAGATAATATAAGAACACAAACATAGCCTAAGTTCACCTGTACTGAATCATATTTCTTTAGGTGGATTCAGCTTTGGCCCCCTCGCCATATGAAATACGAACTGTCCTATAACAAAACTTGATGAGTGTTTGTCGAATAAACATTGATAGTTTAAAACTACTAAACAGCTGGACATAGCCACTGGAAAGCATAGAAGCTCCAGCTGCTCTGCCCCCTTCCTATTCAACATATTGGTTTGTGTTAGTCGTCGCTAATGACACAGAGTGCACCTGGCTGCTTCTTGTCTTAATGCCATGTTCATTATTCTATCTCCAGCTCAACAGCATATCTCCTTCCTTTAAAACTCCAGTCTATTTACAGGCTTTACAGCTCATCCAATTTGTGCCGTGTAAGGATTTGGGCCAATGTCCGGCACTGAACTTTCTTTAATGAGCTCAGTCCCAGGCATTGGTTTTAGGTGGAAGCTGCTCCGACAAAGGGTTTCTGTGTCGGTGTCCACAATGTATGACCTCAAGGACTCTGCTGCAGACTGCACTACGCCTCGCTTTTGCTGATCCAGACAACATCACCTCTTCTCAGATCTTCGCGTTGTTGTGCACCACGTTCCCTGTCATAGTTAGCCTTTTGCTGAGTCATTCATTTTCTTTCCCACCGTTGGAGTTCCTGGGCATTCACGAGTTTTGGTTCCAATTTGGAAGAAACAGACGGCAGGGACGTTCTCAACTTGCGACCCATAAGCAACTCGGCAAGACTATACCCATTGCCCGGTGGTGTTGCGCAGCAGGACTGTAAGGCGATGTAGCTGTCGGACGTCTTCTTGAGGCTTTTCTTAATAATACCGACAATAACTTTAACAAATCTATTGCTCTGCGGGTATCTTGGGCTAGATGTCTTATGTTTGCAGCCGCATTCTTGGGCGAACCGATGAAACTCACTTCCGGTCACTCGTTGATATTGTGGTCTGTTGTAGCTGAACACAATTTCAGGTGTTCCATAAGTGTGAAAACTGACCTTAAGTGCGTTATTACACAGCTTGAAGTCAGTGTTCAAAAGTGCCATTTCTGGATACCTCGGATAATATTCTGTCACCAGAAGGTAGTTTTTTCCGGACAGATAAATCAGATCCCTTGCGACTTTCTGCCAGGGTTGCTCTGGTAACTTTGATAGCATCAAAGGCTCGTGCAGTTTGGACGATTCCTTGGTGCATGCTGAGCAACTGCGCACCATGCTCTCAATCGCCGTTGAGATTCTCGGCCACCATACAGAGTCCCTTGCTTGAGCTCTGCACTTGGTAATTCTTTCATGTCCCCGGTAGATCTTCCGCAGGATATCCAGACACATCGACACAGACGTAATGAGCTTGCACACTCTCAAGAGCGATCTTGAAGTGCGATCTCTGACCGATGTTGCCAGTACTCTTTACAGTTGGCAGGAACTTCTTTTCGACTGGGTCAGCCTTTTTCACTGTACCATGCCAGCAACTCGCGTGTAGTATCCTTGGCCTGTTTTTCTTTGATTTCTTGAAGTCTCTTCTCCATCAACGGAAGGCCTACGTATGCAGCCACCTGTCACTCCAGGTCAGGGTCTCCAGTTTCCTTTAGAGGCTAGCGGGACCACGTGACTTCTGCAATCAGCGCCTTTCCTGGAATGTGTTTCACTACGTGGGAGAATCTCATCATTCTCGCCTTCATTCTTTGAAGTCTGATCGTGATGTCAGCTAGATTTTTCGATATGAAGATTGGCACAAGCGGCTTGCGGTCGGTTTCAATCTCAATGTGAAGAACAGTGACAAAATCCTGAAACCTTTCGCACGCCCAAACTACCACTGCTAGGCCTGCCTTCTCAACCTACGCATACCCAATTTCAGTCCCTGTAAGCGCCCCCTAATGCGTACGTGACGGTTTGTAGGATCCATCTGTCGTTGCAAAGCGCAGCTCCCAAGCCGTATGATGAAGCATCAGCTGAGATCACTGTGTGTCTTTCTCGGTCAAAGAGCGTCGGCACGAGACTCGTGGTCAGCGCGCGCCTCAGTAGATCTAAGCTTCTCTGCAGTTCCGTTGCCCAAACCTAGTGGTTCTCTGAGCTCAATAGAGAATTAAGCGGGTAGCCGATGTGTGACATGTTTGGTATAAAGTTTGTCAAATAAATCACCATGCCTAGAAAACTTCTTAGCTCGTGAACAGATGAAGGAGGCTTCAAGTCAACAATGGCCTTAACTTTGGCGCAGTCTGGACGTAATCCTACACGGCCGATGACGTGATCCAAGTACTTAACTCTTTCATTTCATTCTCAGTCTTATTACCCATAAATCGCCCATTTCTGGGCTTTACATAAGGGGGGGGGGGGAGGTACAAAAAAAGCACTTCTGCAAGGCAAATCACGTCACACACTTGAGCATCCAGGTAGGTCGTGCACCCTCAGCGCCTGTCTGAAATTATCTGTGTTAGAATTTGCAACGATGACGTCAGGCGGCTTGTTCTAAGTACAATAGACAGTTGTAATGGTGAGCATTTAGAAAGGTTTGTTTACGGGGTCACTAGGGCAAGTTTACAACTGTTATCTGTTTGTGGGGATATATGATGATAAGTTTTCAAATATTGATTTTTCGTCGATTCTAGGAAATGATAGTACAACCTGAGTAACATTATGAAGCCAGCGCGGTATCTTCGGTGCTGTAAAAGGGAAAAGTTTAGCTTTGCTTTCATTGCTGTGAAACTGTTCTCTCGTTTGAAATCTCGGAGCACAAAGCGCGCAGCTCTGCTATGCACAGGTTCAAGCAAATCTATTAAGAATAATTGATGAGGGTTCCACAGAGACGACGCATACTCAAGCTGAGGGTTGACAATGGTGGTATACACAATAAACAATAAACTGCAAACTTTAAATGATGTTTAATGTAAGCTAATGATTGGTTAGCTTTTGTGACGATGCTTGTTATGCGAGTCTCCCAAGTCAAATTAGGTGTCAGCA